CAGACAGACAGACAGACAGACAGAGAGACAGACAGACAGACAGACAGACAGACAGACAGACAGACAGACAGACATGACTGGCCAAGGGTTCTGTGTGCCTAGCTGGATCATTAAAAAAGAGTTTCTGTTATAGCTTCCATTACTACAAATAGCCCTCAACCAGGGGTGGGTTGCTGCCGGCGTTGCTTCCAGTTCGCTTTGCATGAACCAGAAGCAACAGTTTGTTGCAACCCAGGGCAAAACGGTTCTGGTTTTGGCCTGGGTCACCAGAACTTTGCTGCCTGTTCGGGTGACCCAGGCCAAAATACCACTACCAGTTCGCCCGAACCGGTGCAAACCAGCAACAACCCACTTTTGCCCTCGTCTTACAACCATTGTACATAAATCGTTGTGGTCATATTTTGAGTCAGACTCAATTTTACAACAATTTTTAGAGTGATTGTTAAACGAATCCAACTTAGCAACTGTTCTGACCTAGGCTTCTCCAGCAGCACGAAGCCGAGTGTTCGTCCCGATAACTCCTTTTTATTTAATGTACAGTGAATTCCTCTCCAGCAAAGTCTTTCCTCTCCCATAGTCTTTCAAGATAGTTCACAATTACCGACCTTTATCAGGCTTGGAGAGCAGCCAGGCCGATATCTTTCAACGCTGCAATGCTTGGCAAGAATGCAGGAATGAACTAATTGTTTCCTGTAAACATCCCTCCCCTTTCACTCCTCTTTTATTCCCTGTGGGAGGGGCCATTCACTGTCCACTTGTTGCCTTACTCCCAAGTAGACCCTTATTCCTTAGCTGCTCCCTTCGTCTGGCAACTCTGTGCATGCTCACACTGGGAACAGGCTCCAGCTCTTCGTCTGCCTCACTGATGTCTGACTCCAAAGGCAGCTGATAACTGTCAGATGGCCCTGCGCCTCCGACGCAGAGCACTTGTCAGAGTCTTCCCCAGGCTCTAGGACTGGCCCATGTTCCTCCCCAACCTCCTCACTATCCGAATCTGCTGGACTACAACAGCAACAGAAATGTTGAGCTCAATTGTGCCCATAAGTTGAGGACTACCTGTACAATGGAATTGTCTTCCGATTTCTTTCTTCAGGTGATCAAAAAATCTTGCTACCCCAAATGGAATGAGACCTTTGAGTTTGACCTGGATGAGTCAGCTGCAGAAAATCTGTGTATTGTTGAAGTCTGGGATTGGGATCTTGTCAGCAGGAATGATTTTTTGGGGAAGGTGAGTTGAAAAAGAAGGGCACGCTGAAGGCAGGTGTTAGCACATCTGAGGAGCGAGGAGTCGGCTCTGTTGAAAGACTGTCCTGTTTTTGCTATATTTAGAAACTCTAACTTGAGAACCCGGGGGGAGAGCAATAACCTGAAGTAGCTGCTTGCAAATTCTTGTGACTAAGACGTGGGATACGAAGGCCTGAAAATTAAACATGGCTGCAGTTGAAATCATCAAAGTCTTGGGTGCTTGTATTGCCTCGAACATAGTGGGCTTCTCGATGATGCTGATGTTTGTTTCTTTGTTTTTTCACTGATTCTTCCTTCTTTTTTCTTACTACTGTAGGAAGGAACCCCCTTCCCCTGATTAAAATATTCTTTATTCTTAATATTAAAAAGAGGCCGGAATATCATATTTCTCCAAAGAAGAAACAGAGAAGCATGCTCTTAAAGGCAGAAAGCAGCCCCATAGCCTCAAGCAGAAGTCTCAAGAGATGGATCTTTTGTATCCATTAAGAAAGACTGGGCCAAACTATTCACAAACAAAACACATTCAGCCACAACCTCCCACAGAAGGCTAGAGCTGATGGGATTAAGAATCTGCATTTCCCCACCCAAATTCTAAGGACAGGACGTGACCTTTAGGATGTAATAGGATTAACCCTTCACCATTGAAATAGTAAAAGACAAAGCATTGTCCAACCTCCATTGCACAACCCCCTGGAGCATCTCAAACCCAAAACCCCAGAAGCCTATAAAGATCCATTCACTCACTTAGCTATTTTGTCAGCCATCCCAGAAACAAATTGCTGTCACTGAAGTTTCTGGCAACCAAATAAACTTTCTTTCCTTGCAGTCAGCCTCCATGTTATTTCCAGTGGCTTTCTCCCAACTTGGAACAAGACGGGATTTTTCTTCCTACAGTATGCACTTAAAGAAAAGAAGAATAGCTGCTGTTTGATAATAATGCTATGATCTATCTATCTAAAAGCGTTGGTAGAGACCCATTGTACAAAGTCATGACTTGCTTTAGCCTGGGTTATTTATTATGTTTTATCTTAACTAGTTTTCCAGAAAGAAATAGGGGGAAAATGCCAAAAAATGGGAAGTACATGACAAACTACAAAACAAAACACAAATAAAATCAGAAAAGGTGGAAATTATCTAGTTTTGCCACGTATCAATCAAATGTCAAGGAGATATCTAAATCTACCCAAAGCAGTAACATAAAATTTTAAAAAATAACAATTCTCTAATGTTAGAGGAGATCATTACACCCATGTCATAGAAAGACGAACCAAGTGTGTGTGTGTGTGTGTGTGTGTGTGTGTGTGTATGTGTAAATGTTCGTTTGTTCAAAGTATTAAATCCTGTAGCTTTAAGGTGCTGGAAAAGGGAGGAAGTTTTTTCTTTTTTTCTTACTGCGTTCTTGTGTTCTGCGATGCGTGCATTTATTCTCCTGTTCGTTTGTCCTATGTATGTTGCAGGACAGATTTTGCATGGTATTTTGTAGATTTCTTGGTTTTCCAGCTGGATTTTATCTTTGGGGTTTCTTAAGATGTTGGCTATTTTTTGGTCAGTGTTGAATACTGTCTTGATATTGT